CGCTGGGGCTGCCCGGAACCCTGCCCGGGGGTCATGCCCGGCCGGGCACCCGGGCGTGTACCCGGGCAGAAGGTGGGTGCCCGGGCGCCCGGGAAAACAGCCTAGTTTTTTTTTGTTTTTTTTTGTGAGCAAGGCTTCAATCTATTTGTGGGGAGCAGCACGTGCTGAGAACCGGGCCCTGCGTCCCTTATAAAGGAATACAAAGGAATGCAAGATTGAGAAATGATTGGGCGGTTTTCCAGCAAGTGGGCAATCCTTTAGACCTGATGATCCAATGTACTAGGTGACGACTGCGATTTGCTTACGTGTACGTTTGCAGATCGTGAACGATGCTTCTTTTTTTTGTTTTTGTATTTTTTTTTTAATGAATGCTATGTACAATCAAATTATGGTAGACTCGTACTACCAAGAAAACGAGACGTGGTCCTGAAAGGTTTCACAACTCTTGCTATCTTTTTCTTTGTTTTTTGTTTTTTTTTTACTTTTTCCCTAGGAAGATTTTCCTGCCTAGCCGGGCACCCGGGTGTGCATTAAAAAAAAAAAAAAAAAAAAAGAGGACCCCAAATCCGGGCGCATTTCTTTTTTTGTGAGTTGGCTTTCAAGGGGGGGGGGGGGGGGGGGATATAAATTGGTTTTAAAGGGGCTAAGGGGCTAAAGGAGTTTAAAGAGGGGTGCCTTAGTTTGATTCTGATATTTTCTTTTTTATCTCCGATTCTGTGAGGAATTCTAATGTGACCCTCAGCCAAAAGTCGTTTGTACTGCAATTCTACACAACATAATTTTTTCTGGATTTTTTTTTTTGTTGTGCTGGGCCTGCCCGGAACCCTGCCCAGGGGTCATGCCCGGCCGGGCACCCGGGCGGGCATAAGCTGGGTGCCCCGGCACCCGGAAAAACAGCCTACCTTTTTTCATAGTTTCACTTATTGTGTTCTGAACGTTTTGCAATTTTTTTTTTTTTTTTTTTTTTTTTTCCGCTTGAACAGGTCCTTACTGTCGTGGCCCTATGTCCATTCTGGGGAGCGTCAGCCCGGTTCCTTTCCACCGGCTGGATGAATGAGAGAATTATACATAGAATAACTCAACGCTTCCTTCTGTCAATGCTGAAGGAGCCCTGACCTGCATTGATTACTCCAGCCGCGTGGGGCCGCGGTGGAGGATTGATTGTCAGCTTCTTATCCCTCATGGTGGCGGATTGATTGTCAGCTTCTCATCCCTCATGGTGGAGGATTGATTTTCAGCTTCTTATCCCTCATGGTGGAGGATTGATTGTCAGCTTCTTATCCCTCATGGTGGAGGATTGATTGTCAGCTTCTTATCCCTCGTCTTTTTCTCTGCACCTACTCCTGTTCCTCTGTCTCGTCCACCTTTTCCTCGTTTTGCTTTATCACACTTGTTTTTGTTCGTTTTCCTCTTTGTGTTCATTTCTTTCACTCACATCCTCAGTGTACTCTCCTGGCGCCCCCCCCTCCCCCCCCCCCCCCCCCCCCCCCCCCCCCCCTCTGGAACTCTCTTTTCTCTGCCCCTCTTCGCTTCGTCTGGTGTTGTCCTTCGTTTATTGCAAGTCATGATTACAAAGGGGTTTGCATACTAATATGAATGAAAAAAACTCTCTGTGAAGGGATAGCGTGAACAACCCGACACACGACGACCACCTTACCTGCAGCTGAACAATTACAATTTTTATCTCTCTCTCTTCTTGGCAGTTTTTTCGTTACGAGGTTTGCAGAACAAAACAGATGTGGTGGCCTCGGGCACAAGAGCTCACTGTACGGCCTTTTTCTTTCTTTTCTTTCTTTTCTTTCTTTTCTTTTTTCTTTTTCTTTCTCTTGTCATGCTTGCTAGGTGTCAACACTGTGATGGTGACCAATGAGCAAGAAGCACTGAGCTTGCTCTTTGAGGGAGAAACCAATCGTGCTATAGCAGAGCATCAGGTTGGACAAAGCGTTCTTTTTTTTTCCCCTTTTCTTTCTTTTCTTTTCTTCTTTTTCAAAGCGTTCATATTGCTCCTCCTCATTCTTTTACTTTTCTATATTTTTTGGTTAAAAGTTAGAGCTCAAAACTCCAACGTACAACTCAGAAGACGAAGCCTTCAACTGCTGAAAGCCACTCAGCCCATGTGGCTGAATGGTACACGCATGCAACTGTTGATGATTAGGTCATGTGTTTGAATCTTAAACCACCAGTACCTCGCTCAGCTATTGAATCCGAGCCTCCCAGCACGCTGCGCGCCAAGTCCTGCCGAACCGCCGTCGCAATTTTCTTTTTCATTTTGCCTGCGGCCTCCAGCCAAGGCGGTCCAGCAGGCCGAAGCCCAAATGGCGCGGCGCGTATACGGGAAGCGCCGCGGCCGATAGCTGGGCCAGGTACTGGTGGTTTAATGTGGGCATCCCATCTAAATGGGACAGAGTCTACAGACAGGTAACTGTTGGAATTGGTGTGGCTGAATTGTACACGCACATAACTGTTGACGACCGGCCACCCAGCTGCTTGGCACAATAAGGTTAGTGTTTGTACCCTTTGCAAGGAACCTGCTTCGGAGAAGTGAACTGTATGACCGCTAACACAGGTAACCGTATATGACCTCACTGACGAGCATGCGTCGGAGGAGCCAGACTGAAAGCGGAATTGTAATGGTCGAGTCTCTTCATTACAACACCCCTCTTCATGCCTCCAGGCTCCAACCAATCAATTCAGCAAGATGTGCGCAAGGTTACAAAGTTAATACAAACTTTGCGAGGACTTGAGTCACACTCCACTGGTGCTGTCATTCCACAAAGAAAACAATGAGGCTGGCGGTGAAAAAGAAGCAGTGGCGTTCATGCTGGCATATGACGAACTTAACACCGGTGGGACCAGAGTCACCAGACTCAACCGGTGCTATGTTTGTGCTAAGTTAGCATGAACCCAACCACTTTTAGGACCACTTTCATGCCTCTTCATGCCTCCTACCAATCAATGCAACAAGATGTGCACAAGGTTACAAACTTACAAAGTAATACAAACACTTGAGAGTCACACTCCATTGGTGCTGTCTTTTTTTCGCGCTACGAAAGCATGAGGCTGGACGCTGGGCCCGGTTCCCAACACGTACTGCTCCCCACGAATAGACTGGAGCATTTGTCTCCTCCTCCCCCCCCCCCCCCCAAAAAAAAAAAAAAAAAGAAAAAAAAAAGAGGCTGGTGGTGAAAAAAAAGGCGGCCGAGTCCATGCTGGCACATCACAAGCTTAACACTGGTGGGTGGAACCGGAGTCACCGGACCCAACTGGTGCTATGTTTGTGCTAAGTTAGCATGAACCCAACCAATTTTAGGACCAGGGGGCATGGGTATAGCACTGCTGGGGCTTGACCCTCAAACTTGCTATTCCACTTGTAAACCACTTCGAAGTTCGAACCAAGGTTTGCATTGCATCCCTTTACACGACTGGCATCCAGTGGAGTGAGTGTGCTGCACTGTGCTCCTTCCTTTATTGTGTTCATCTGATTGCACGGGGATTCGAACTTGGATCTGTATTTCCCCAGTTCATGGGTGTACCAACTGGGATAGAGTGCGATAGACCCGTCTGTATCTTCCTGCTTCCTGCCAGTCAGGGAAAGCAGAGGTGAGCATTTTTTGTTTTACCTTCGTCCACACTTTGATCAGCCCAGATTTGTTTTAATCTGACCCACCCTCTCCCAATCATTATTCTTTTCGCCTCACCTCGACCCAGCCCGCGCAGCTATTTTTCACAAATTTCCCACCTTCGCCCAACCCACCAACGCTTATTGTACCCGTCAGTCGGAAATTCACCCTTTTCTTGAAGACCAAATTTTCACAATTACCAGTCCTTATTCAACTGGTTGTAGGGCGAAATAGTCCCCCAAAAAAACACTAGGATGGGCGTCGTGAACGATATGGACACACCTTTGACTTTTCAGGGTGGTGAATTGACGTCGCAATTGGAAAATGTCTTTTCAGTCCTGGACCTCACTTGCGTATGGACATTCTGGCAAGAAGACCTTGAAAAAAAGAAGAAGGAGAAGAACATATAACGATGGTTTTTCCGCTTCCTTCCTGATCTCTTCTTCATTTCAATAAGAGCTTCCATCTTCCTCGAACTACCTTACCCCCCCCCCCCACAAAAAAAAAAACGAAAAAAACGGGAAGGAGAACCTCTTTCTACTGGCGGAACTAGCACTTGCCTTTTCTCTCATTCACTTGTCGTGTCGTGGGCTCCTTTTTGATGATGCAGTTGAATCGGTCGTCTTCAAGATCACACGCCATCTTCACCATAGCCTTGGAGCTAAGATCTAACATTGACCCGGTAATTACAATCCTGTTCCGTCTTTTGCCAGAGGCTATTAACAGAGAAATGCAGAATTTCAAATTTTCAATTCTAGTCATTTCTGGTCCATGTGTCTCTCCTCCCTTCCTTGCTGGGAATGTTACCAGTAACAAGGGTGGGCTTAAACAAACAAACAAACAAACAAACAAACAAACAAACAAACAAACAAACAAACAAACAAACAAACAAACAAACAAACAAACAAACAAACCAGCCATGGTTGTTAACTGGACATCCGGATCCCGATCCGGACAGTCTGGGTCTGGATGTCTGGGTCCGGTGTCCGGTTTGGAGGGTCCAGTTGGACCCAATTTTGAAGAAATTCCGAAAATCTTTTCGGGGTCCCCAGGCAATTTTCCCTTGCCTGGGGGACCCCTTAAAATTGTTGCTGTAGTTTCTTTGGACCTCGGGCCAACCGGACCGGCCCTGAAGGGTCTGCACTTGCCAAAGTCCAGCAGGCAGGACGACGGCGGAGGTTCGAGGTATTTACTGGCTGCCGGCGAGAGGATGCCATTTTTGAATCCTCTGCAGCAGCTGCAACAACTGCAGCTGTACGGTTCTGAAAAGAAAACAAAAAGAAAAGAAAAAAAGTTCAAAAAACGCAAACAAGTTTAACAAACAAAGAAAAAAGAAGAAGATAACACACACACACACACACACACACACACACACACACACACACACACACACACACACACACTGGATGTGTTTTGTTGGTTTGTTTTTTTATACATGGCCTAATTCTTTGGCCTGCTTTATAGCATGGGATGTCTTGTCGATGAGGTAATGTCTGTGGGTGGCGGCAAGTTTTTTTCTGGGGTGGGAGTTTGGGGTTTTGGCCACAATATCTCTGCGAGGAGGCTCAGAGAGTGTTTGCTGTGAGTGTCATTCCCGTGGGCTGCTCTTTTGGAGCACATGGAAGAATGGGGTGCCGTCAAGGGCGTTTTAAGAAGTAGCGCTCCCGGTGTCCCCTGGAGATCTTGTGGAATTTGGCATAGTTCTCGCAGTGGCCTCGCTGTAGCACTAGGACATCATCCGATTCTGCAGGTTGTGTGGCAGGGGGAGGTTTATGTCACTCTTGGTGCTGCGTACAGGTTCTGCGGTGTATTTTTGATTTGTGGTGGCGTTGTAGGTCGTCACAGAGGGCTCTAAATTTCTTTTTTTATACCATTGGCATGTGTGGTCGGTGCTTTTTTGTTAGTGGAGCCTTTTGTGTTATGCTGTTTTGTGGTTTTGTGGGCCGACGTGGAGGGCTCTCCAAGTTTTCTTGGACGTCGGTGCTTTCTTGCTCGTGGAGTCCTCTGCCTTAGGTAAGTTGCTTCTTGCCCTCCACCCTGTTATGGTTTAAATAAATATATGTAGATAATATATATCGTCAAATAGAACTGCCCGGTAAACCGTAGGCAGAGAGGGAGAAGAGGACAACAAACGAGGGGCTGTGACGAACTGTTTCGTCGGAGTTTCACCGACTCATCAGGATATGTATATGTGCAAGTGTGCCGCTTCGACGGCAGACGGGTGTGTGGGCACTTGGTGCTGAACCACACAAACGTGGCCAACCTTGCATTTTCTATTATATTGTCAATCTATATTTTCTCGTTATGGATGGTTTGTTATGATTTGTGGAGGTCCCTGGAGGAAATGAGAGAGAGAATATGGGGTGCTTTAACAAAACACACTGCTGTAGCTTCTGCAGCTACAGCAGTGGTGTGTGTGAGTGTGTGTATGTCTGCCGGTTTTTTTTTTTTTTTTTTTTTTTTTCCCATCCGGACATCTGGACTTGCTTACCCCCAACTGGACCGTCCGCATCTGCATGTCCAGTTGTCCAGATTGATGTCCGGTTAACTGGACGTCCGGATTAATCCAGACACGGGTCCGGACCCCGTGTCCGGTGTCTGGATGTCTGGGTCGGGGGCAACCATCAAACAAACAAACAAACAAACAAACAAACAAACAAACAAACAAACAACCCAAACCCAACCCAAACCCGACCCGACCCAACCTGACCCGACCCAACTCGACCCAGCTCCGCCAGCCCCGCCCAACCCCCGCCCAGCCCTGCCCAGCCCCTGCCCAGCCCCCCTCCCCTCACCCCAACGCGACCCCAACCGCAACCCCAACCCAACCCTACCCCACCCCACCCACCCCACCCTACCCTCGCAACAACTGATACCTTGAGGTGGGCACCAACCACTGCCCTCAAGGTACCAGAGACGAAAATCAAAGCAGATTATCACTCAATCACACCAGATGAAAAACTGTGTACACACCCCATCACAAGCCAGCCAAACATCCACGAAACAAAGAAGGTCTGTCACAGCTAGAAAATACACTCCAGACACGCCGCTGGCACTAGAGGCACAGTGTGGCCTCGTAGTGACGGCCCCGGCCACTGATGCCCTACCTGAAGTCGTGGTATATATCATCAAACACAACAGCCCGGTAAACCGATGGCAGAGAGGGGGAAGAGGACAACAAAACTGTTTTGAAGGAGTTTCACCAACCCATCAGGAGGCTGAACCCTCTACAGTCTGCCAAGTCCCCTAACTGATTGCACTGTAAGTGATAATCCACCTTAACCCCGGTTGTGGTTAAGCATCAACGACTGCCCAACAACTGATACCTTATACTATCTCTCTCTCTCTCTATATATATATCTCAATAATATAATCAAATACATAGTCATAAATATGTATACAATTCAACGATATGAATCATTCGGCATTGTCTTTTTTGGTGTTTTTTTTTTTTTAATTTTTGTTTTTTTTCCTGTAATGAATTGAAAGAAAACAATCTGTCATGTCTTTCGGGCCATCTGTTAAAATCGGAACGATACAAAAAAGATTAGCACGGCCCCTGCACAAGGATGACAAAACAAAAAAGAAAAAACAATGTCACAACATTCACAACTTGACATTCAGTTCACGCCGACTTCACGGCATATGACCTGGTCATGAAAATGATTAAGGCTTTTTTTTTCTTTTTTTTTTTATAACAAACAGACTCCGATCTATTCGTGGGGAGCAGCACATGCTGCTGGGAACTGGGCCCGGCGTCCCATACGAAAAAATTATAAACTTTGCTTTAGCAAATTGATAGTTATCCAATAGCTCAGTGCTATTTGTTTCGCATTTTATGCGCTGGAATATAGCTTTCCGCAATTTTTAACTTTTATCAGATATACTTTGCCAGTATAAGGCAACATCTGTGTCTTTTGCCTTGCTTCTAATACAGAGTTGGAATTTTGGCTGGTAAGAATGCGAAAGAAAATTGAAAAGATTTGCACAAAGTCTGACACATGTAGATGAATGAGGTGGATCTAAGCTGGATCTGACAGTCTATGGCATGTATGGACGAATACAAATGTGGATTAAATCATTAAAGTAATAAAGTTATTAAACTGGATAAACAATTTTCTTCTTGTCGACTGCAGGATGGAACGGTCCTTACATCCAAGTTTAACCTGGTGGATCTTGCAGGCTCAGAGGTAAGGCTTCAAGTCTCTTGATGTAATGAAGGATGTTGATCTCTCCCTCTCCCCCCCACCTCTCACCCCACCCCACGTGCACACACACGCACCCGACCATACAGAACGACGTTGTTGCTCCCAGTACACACTAGCCGGGAATAGTATGTACTGAGTCCAATGCCCACAATGTGGCGTGCCAGACATGGGGCCAAATATTTGTGCGTACATTCTGCATCGTCCCGGTCATCTCAGTGATGTTACCTTTGCGGATAATTCATGGGCCCGGACCCTATGGGATTAAACCACCAGTACTTCCTAAAGTCGTACCCGTTAACGCGCCACGATTTTAGGAAACGTACGGGCCACTACGGAAGCGCCGAAATTCATCCGACTAGAAATGTTTCTACTCTATTTTTTCCCGCGGCCGATAGCTGGGCCAAGTATTGGTGGTTTAAGGCGGGAGGGTGCGCACTGTGGGACACATTAACTCTTTCTTTCTTTCACCGAGTGGTAGAATCCCACTCGGTATTGCTGGCAACCAGGAACAGTATGTGGATGTGCACTCACAAGCTCTACCGCCTCCGGAGAGCAATCCAGCTGAACCTCTCCCCTCCCCTGTACTTGATGGCCAGGCAGCGTGTAAATCGGACAGATTCTACCACGGGTAGTGCAGGGGGCTCTCCAGAGGATGGTGGCTGTCATGTCATTGTGTCTCCACACAGCTACAGTTCAGTTAGCTGCGCACAGCACACTCTCTGCTTCAAACACTTAGAAGGGATGGTCACTGCCAGCCTCTGCTGCGAAAACTGCAATCCGTTGTCTTGCATTCATCCCCCCCCCCCGCCCCCATCCCCTCATTACTTGCCCGATATGCCGTTGTGGCCTTGACATGTCATGCTTGAATAGTCGCGAACGTCAGCCTGCTTTCTTGCTGGCATGTCAGCAACATGCCATGTGTCATCAATATTTCCAAGCAGCTGGCATACAAAGTATATGTGTTTTTAACTTTTTACTGCGTGGAATATTCCCGAGGTCATCACCTGCCTCATCCTCTCCTAGCTGTCCCACATGCAGCGTTCGGCATAATAGGCAATGGAAGGTTGTGTTGTTTGCAAAGTATTGATCAATTACATGGACCTACTTTTCAATCCATTTGTGGAAACATAGCATGTGTTTTTAATCATGACACCAAGGCTGCGGCGCATCATTACTTTGAAAAGTGATCTCTTGGGAGCACCTGCAAAGCGCTGAAAGTGATTTGATGCGTAGTGTTGATAGCTTTGTTATGTTTCCAGAAAAAAAAAAAGATTCTGTTTTTCGAATCCAGAAACCAGTACTACTAAAGTGGCTATACATACCAACTTTTTCACAGATCTCTATGCTTTGATAGGAACTGGAAGTTATGAAACTGGCTGGTATACTACCATAATGAAGTTACCTTTCATTTTTTGTATTTGGATAATATGGATGTGTTTTGTCTTGGCTTCTTTTTTGGAGGTTTCCAAAGTTTTATACGCCGGCTCTTAAAACAAAAACTGAATTGGAATTAACTGCTGGAGTAAAGGGACTCAAACCTTTGCATGTCGGTATCAATAACCGATGCCTTTCCACTTGGCTACACGCCAATGAGATAACATGACCGACCAACGGCCTCAACGTCTTAGCTTAGAATTGTGCTCTTGTTTTTCAACTATTTGACTACACCATACAAACAACAAACCTGCTACGACTGCAGTCGGATCTCCTTCATCCTTGCCAGACGAACCTGGCTGTGAAATCTGTCTACGTCATGCCATTCTATGCAGCAACTTCAACTGCAACTGCGAGAATTCGATGTGGTGCTCCGACAGTCCACTCCCGAACCAGTCCTGTCCGGTCTGTAGGGGTGGCTACTTACCATAGGCAGCAACAGCTCCTCAACTCAAAATCTACTGCAACCCAAACACAGACTGGCATCTTGTGCTAGTCTAGAGTAGTCTGCTTCAGCGGTGAGTATTCAGAATCCTGTGAAGTTTGTCTTTCCTGTGTGTTCTGTTCTTTGCCCCTCCACTTCCCTCTTCTACACCTTCACTCTCCCCCGCCCCTGGCTTCCTACATAACTCCATCCCCCACCCCTTTCCTTTCTCCCTCCTTATGTGTGCTACTAGTAAATGCATACAAATGAGCACAATTAAGAGAAGAGAGAGAAATAAACTGAAGATCTGAAGAAAGTGAACAGGAGTATACCCCCACCTTCACTCTGCCTCCTTTCATAATGTGCAGATGGGACGCTAAGGCACGCGGGGGTGTGGGCAGCTGGCGCTTAACCACAATCAATGTGGCCAGACTTGTACATGAGAGGCACAGTAGAAAGGGAGTTGCAATAACAAATAAAAGGGGTACCCCAAAGAAAGCCAAAGTAAAGAAAGTCAAGAAAGGGATGTAACAGATCTATTCTGCTCCATGTTGCTTGCTATAGAGGCAAAACCATACTTGCAAGCGGACGCCGTCCGGGCGGTTCCGCATGTGCGGCAGACCGCGGACCGGACCCGTGCGCCCGAATGTGCGCCCGATGACCAGTTACGCCCCCCCCCCCCCCAAAAAAAAAAAACCGCCCCCGTCTGGTCCGGGGGGAGGGTGCCGCACGCAGCAAAGCGGACCGGACCAGATGCTCGTCCGGTCCGTCTGCTTGCAAGTATGGGCAAAACTGTTTCATTGTTGGAATCGCTCATCTCACACTTCATTGTCTGCAATAGAGGTAGAGCTGTATCGGATCTACTCATCTGGGTGAAACAGGGGCTGGGGTGGTGAAAATCCACAACATATGCACGCACGTCGTGTCCAAAAACTAGGGCTGTTTAGGCTGTATTCACTAACTTTTTCTTGGATGATTTTTTTGGATCTATGGCCAATGAATACACTTCAGAAATTTGCATCTATGGCCATTGAGTAGACTTTGCAAGTGTGTGTGTGTGTGTGTGTGTGTGTGTGTGTGTGTGTGTGTGTTTGTGTGGTTTAGGTACTTTTTTGGACCTCTGTTCATTTCTTACTGTTAATAATTGTCTGCTATGAAGGTATTTCTGCAGTATCCATGCAGGCAATCTGGTGCAAAGAAAGGGCCTCGCTGCACTACTCTCGAAATGTGCAAAACGAGAGTGAATCTTCCACTAGAACATGGAAAGATACAACGACATGATTTTTGTCTTTTGTGCATTTCAAGAGTAGTGCAGCGAGGCCCAAAGTGATTTGTGAATTTGATGTGTTCCTGAACTTCCTGGCCATGGAGAGGCAGTTTGATGGGAGGAGAAAAAGAAAAGAAACAAGTGCGGTAGTAGCACACTTTCAAACTGTAAAGGCAAAAAAAACACTAATGGGCAACGGAAAAATGGCCACAGTTCGAAAAGGCAGTCATAACATCAGAAGGCGGTAACATCAGGCCCCGAGTTTGAAAAGGGC